TTAATGCACCCCAGGATCCCATTGGCCTTCTTGGCCACGAGGGCAACTGCTGCCTCATGGTCAACTTGTCGTCCACCATGACGCCCGGGTCTTTCTCTGCAGAGCTGCTCTCCAGAAGGTCAGTCCCCAGCCTGTACTGGTGTCTGGGGTTATTCCTCCCCAGGTGCAGGACCTTGCACTTGGCCTTGTTGAATAGCATGAGGTTTTTCACCGCCCAGTTGTCCAGTCTGTCCAGGTCCCTCTGGATGGCAGCGCAGCCCTCTGGGGTATCGGCTACTCCTCCCAGTTTCATGTCATCAGCAAACTTGCTGAGGGAGCACTCTGTGCCTTCATCCAAGTCATTGATGAATAAATTGAACAGGACTGGACCAAGGACTGACCCCTGGGGGACACCGCTAGCTACAGGCCTCCAACTAGACTCTGCACCGCTGATCACCACTCTCTGGGCCCTGCCATCCAGCCAGTTCCTAATCCACCTCACTGTCCACTCATCTATCCCACACTTCTGGAGCTTGCCCAGAAGGATGTTGTGCGGGACAGTAAAAGTCGAGGAGAAAAAGAAACACTTAAACCAGAACCCTTCCTTCAATCACTACATGGTTTATTTTAAAGAAATGTGTGGCAACTACAAAAGTTCTAACTCTCATAAAAATTTCAAGAGCGATACAAATGAAGATCAAATGCTGAGTAACAGACAAACCTTTCAGGAATGTAATAGCTACCACTTTACACACTGTAATCAGAATTCGAGCTTACCTTGAATTCTTTCACCTTTTCCATAGTTATCAGGCGCCTTGATGTGTGGCTGGAAAGCATCTGCTCACAGTTACTAATAAGTTTCAGACATGGGTGCTGGGGAATGATCTCTTCCGTATATCTGGAAGAAATAAAAATTCAGAGAGTTGTAAGGTCATGAACTGGATCACCTACACTTGCACAGAATTCATAAGAGATTCTTTACAAAATGGCTTACCTAGGACTTGCTACACCTTTTAGAGTCTAATTTACCAGATTCTCAGGTATCAGTGTTCAAAGTTTTTCCATTATGTATTCCAATCATCTTGTGCCATAGAACATGTAGAACAAATGAAAATCTGACAATAAAGAGGAAGAAGAATCCCCAAATCCATTTTCTATATGTATTTACATGTTTTTAATGTATGTGTGCCTGCATTATTTCAAAAGGAAATTTCTTAGGCAATCAGGAGTAATAACTTATCCCGTCAGGATCTATGGTTTTTAAAAAAGTATCCCACAGTCAGCATATATAAAGGCTGAGCAAAAGACGACCTAACTCCTCCTCCCTAAAGGGAGATTATTATACCCGAATTCCAAACCATATCAGAACAGCTTCCAATAGATAGAGACATTCCTGGAGCTCAGAAATTGGTGTTACAAATGTATCACATTGCGATTTCTTTGTCAGCTGTAGAAAAAATCTCAAGGAAAACACAGGGATTACATTTAACATCACATGGTAGTAACACTGGCTAAACCCTGTCTACATCAGCAGTCGCAGTTTTAAATACTTTTTAAGCACACTGATTTCTCCAGACACAGCTTTCTCTGGATTATATATGTTCTTTCTAATTCTCCAAATGCTGAAAGTGGAATTTTGGATTTAAGAGCTGTGTGTGAGAAGAGAGAGAAAATAGTACTGACCTAGCTAATAACATGAGATCGGACATCCTTCCTACATTACAATACAGGATTAGTTTCTGTAATAAGCTTATGTGTAGTATCTATAATAACATACTACAGAAAATAGTATATGATATTGTCCTTGATTGTAATTTCATATAAAATGATTACTCTCATGATCTCCCCATGCCTGGAGGTCAGCTGAAGTCAGTCATTAAAAAGCAAAACTAAGCACACCTCCCATTTGAACTTAAAAGATATAAAGAAGGAGCTCTCTATTTTTTTTCCCCAGCATAGAAGTGGATTGGATGAGTGCACTTTATCCAGTAAACTTTTTGTTCGGGTAGAAAGAAGAACCTAATACACTGCAACTGAAAATACCTCTCTCTATATAGATGTATAGGCTTGCTGGGAGACAGTAGGCAAATGCACAAAACAAACTTCACAAAGCTGTTTGGGCAAAAAAAAACTCAGAGATGGATGGAGGAGAAATCCAAGAACGTACAAAGCACATATTACAAAAATCTAATTCACTAGTCTTAGCCTGACGATACAGGGAAGCAATGTAAACTTCTCTAGGTGGTTTTGGAATTCCCTAACAGCAGCAGATTGGTGGGGAGGGGGCAGAAGACCCTCATTTGACAGCCACGATAGCCCAGGATTGGGTGGAAATAAAGCTGTGGCTATTTTTAACAGTTATTTCAGACATTCAATTGTTTGCACAGTATTTGCAGTTAAATAATAATAATATTATTATAATAAACAAAAACAAACTCAGACTCAACAATGATTTCAATGTCAGATTGAAAGAGTAAACTTTGGAATGAGTTGCTCTCTTGAAGAAGTAAGAGATCGTCATTACTTCGTTAAAAAAAACCTTGTCTGTTAGCATTAGCATACACAGTTCTTCCTACACACTTTCAGGCAAAACTCAGTACATTATCAAATAAGTAACATAATAGCAGTGGTTTAAATCTGTATTAAAATGGATTTATGTTGAAGTAATACACAAGGATCACAAATAACAACTTAACCTGATAGCAGGTGGTGCCAGGGGACACTAATAGCTCAATATATGACTAACCTCCACCTTATCTCTTCCCCATATTTGTTTCAATATGTTCCCATGTTCCTCATTGTTCCTCATTGCAGTGGAAAATAAAGTGATTATACTAATAATCTGTTCTTACTGAGTGACTTCAGCATTTCAATCTTCACTGCTTGAAGTCAGCTCATAGAAGAGGGTACAAATACACAGTTAGAGAAAGAAGACAACCAAACTACAGTTTGAGAGCTTATTTCCTCGGAACATCAACTGAATGATGAATTAGCCATGACAGTATGGCAACGTATAATTGTCAACGACACTTTTTTTGTCTGAAAACAGTTGTACAAAAAATTAGTCTAAAATACAAATTGTATCAATCTAAAAAAAAAAAAAATTAAACACATGCAAGCTGCAAGAGCAGTATTCTTCTGTTACCAAAGACCATGCAGAGATCTGATGTAACAGATCTTTTTGATTCCCAAATTTTCAAAACAGCATGTGGTATTATACCTAAGATTGCCATAAGCCATTTCCATGGTGAAACCCGAGTCAACAACCAGTTTTACAACATTGCAGAAACACATGACAATACTGAAGCTTTCATCAGAGCTCATCTACATCTGGGAGTTATTTAGAAACAGCTACTACACATTAACTCCCCACCTTAATATAGAATTGGCTTCAGAAAGCAAAAAGACCCCTTAGTCAAGAGTTGCGGAACTAAGGTATGTGAATAGGTGTCTTTCCTCTTATGACCTTCTCTGACTTCTCCAGACACTCTCCATCCCAACACTTGCCACATGTTCGAGCACATTTACAACTCCTCATCCTTTAGAGCATCACAGTCCTCATCTGAGGCTGCCCTCCTGAGCAGACATCACCAGCCAGGCTCTCCTGCCCTCTTCCCCTCTTAGCTGGGCTATTTCCTGCACTTCTGCCTCTCATATGCCATTTCTTAGCGAGCTGACTTTTGATTTCTCAGAAGAATGTTAAGTTGGTGGTGCCAAGCCCTAAAGAGACACAGATGTTCTCTTATAGAACCTGGTCTGTAACCTCTATCAACCACTCTCACAGACACGCATAAGTACCTTTCTGCTACTACCTACTACTATCCCTGCACTAATTTTCAAAACTTAAACCTCAACCCACTAGACATGTGTTTACAAGGACACATGAAGGCTTTTCTTGTTGGAAATTGGCAGAAGGTATCTTCATTTGAAACTCTTATTTAAAGATCTCTTTCCTCCATATGAAGTTTTAACACTTAAACCTGAGCATGACTCTTCAGTTCTAGTACTACGCAAGTTACAGCTCTATCACACCCCAGAAGAGATCATGGTTAGAATGCAAAGTCCATTCTGACATACTACATACCAGAAATCAAGAATACATACTCAGGCCTGTATATTGGCAGCCAGTAAACTAATCTTCCTCCCATCACCAGATATTCTGCTGCAAATTTCAATAGGTCAAAAAAGATGTCACTCAGATGATAGCTGGACGAAATGAAGATGTGATTTTCTGTGCTAAGAAAAAAAGATAGCAGTTTAAATATAAAGTCCAGATAACACCTGTAATTTTAATTTAAAAAAAAAAACATCATTTGACATTTGCAGAACTACCTATGACAACCTAGATGTACAATGTTTACCAAGAAAAGTAAGATTTTCAAAACTCCTCTACCAAATCCTTAAACTATCACCTTTAGTACTTGAAAAAAAGCACTGAATCACAGGCATGTTATTTTGCACAGCTTCTTTCTCAAGGGCAATTTATAATAAAAGACAGAGACAAGGAAGCCATGCAGTAGAAAAGCCATGTGTTATCTGTGGAGAGAAAAGAGTAGAAGAGGGAAAGTGAAGGTAAAACAGAGGTATTCCACTTTAGACTGTTTTCTGTAACCTGCAGGGACTGAAGAGAGCTTTCTTCTCTCAGAGATGAGATATAGGACTTGATATCTGAATACATGCAAATGATAAGCAAGAAGAACAGAAACGGGGGGATTTCTGGAAGTGACAAACTAGTGACAAGGCAGTCTTGCCAGCAGAACAGAAAGGGCTTTTTTTTTTTTTTTTTTTTTTTTTAAATTTCATCTGCTGACAGCTAACCAGAAATAACAAAGATTCTAAAACTGACCCTGGCCTCCATTAAGCCATTTACATGATACGACAGATAAGTCACCTACCTTCTTTCACTTGACTTAACTGTTTCCTTTTGTGAACCTGTCCTGCGAGTAGCTTCTCGGATTCCATACGGTGCTGCGCAAAGCAAATATATAATGCAGAAACAAGAAGTTCATACTTTGTGCAGACAGCATCATGAAATTGTTATACATACACAACAGCACCCAAATTGTGGCTGTTGTAAGGTTAAAAACTGATAAGGGTAACTCCTTGAAGATCTATTGAAAATTTATTGCTTCAAAGGCTTGTTTTTCAAGCTGTTTCAAGGAATGCTCCTCAGCAGTAAGACTCTTTAGCATACCAGGTATCAGCTACAATACAGAAGACAGTGCTTGCCTGCCTTAATAACAGGTTACACACTCACAGAATCGTTGAGGTTGGAAGGGACCTCTAAAGGTCCCTTCTAATCCAACCCCCCTGCTCCAGCAGGGACACCTAGAGCACGTGACACAGGGTGGCATCCAGGCGGGTTTGGAAGATCTCCAGAGAAAGAGACTCCACAACCTCCATGTTTCTTATATTCTCAGCATATGACAGATGATCCTATTCTCTTTTGCATGACCAAGTTCTCTGCTATGAAATTGCATATACTTGAATTTCTTGCTAAAACATTACACAAATGGTAATTCTCATACAGATAAGAGTACAGATGGCTTTTCTCATGGATTTTTGAAAACTTCTAATGGCACAACATCTCCTTGTTTTTGAAAGATACATTTCAGCAAATTGAGAGCACCAGTATATTCATCTACACAATCTACAAACTCACCTCTAAATTATATTCACATTACACATTACCTTATTGACAAATAGGCCAAATGAAAATCAACAGGCAACTCATGGTGAAAGGAAAATCACACTCCCTATTCTTAAGGGCCAGCACTAGAGGCCAGAAACTGCTGTGTCAGTTTCTTACATTAGTTTTCCTAGTCTATACTCCTTCTCATGCATGACAAATGTTGTTAAGAGATTTTTTTTTTTTTTGAAGAGTTGTTTTCAAGCCCCTCCTGCTTCTAGTAGTTAAGCATACTGGAAATTAAAATTAAAATCTCTCTTTGAAAGAATTGCAGTAATCACTTAACAAAATCCTGCAGAAGTCCATCACAGATGCATGGCAGACTCCAGTGTGTTGGAGCAACAAGTCCCAACAGCAACACAGACTATTCTGGTAAAAAGTCTCCAGAATCAATGAACTTGTGCCTTTACTGAATCAAACTTCAAAGGATAATTTTCGGCCATGCTGATTTCTACTGACAAATGCAAATACTTTCTCTGTGGGAATGCTTACATCTACTTTTATTTAGAAGAATATATAATATATATACACACGCACATATATATACGCATACGTATACAGACACACACATACACATATATACCGTAATAGAGATCTCCTGCTTTGTTACACATTTATAAACTTCCTTAAAATAAATACACAGACGTCAAAATGCAGTCTCAGTTTCAACAGTGCTGCCCTCAGTGGTCATGTTTTACACTATGGAACTCACAGACCTCAGTGCTCATCAAGATATTAAAGCTACTTGTTTTTTTTTTTTTTTTCCCCCAAGTTTTAAACACATTTAAAAGGCAGGCTCTGTTTCCACCACTAGAGTAACTGAGTAACATATATCTATGCCAAACAGCATTTTGTTCCCTGACTGGTCCTAACGAAGTTGATAGGGTTACTGCATACCAAAGGTAGGGGGTACGAGAACACAGCTAAATCTGACCTCTGTGCTACCTCTTAGATCCTGCAGTTTATATTAGTTTCTCTTTTGTTTCAGGAAATCTTTACCTTCATTAGTCTAGACTTACATGAAAACAAGCGTGTACACAAGCAATAAGCTTTTAGTTACTGTTAGCAGACAACAAAAACATGAACCAGCTTACGATCTGTAATGATGGCGTCAAACAGCATCCCCTTTCGCCATACGGGTTTTGAAGAATCAGAAACCAGGACATCAAGGTAGTATTTCTCTAGACCATACTGCCGAAGATTAGCTCGGATATTTTCATCGGGCCCCCTCCATTTCTGGTTCTTTCTGCTAGCCTTCCCTGGGAGTGATGAAGAGGTAGTGAGGGAAAAAAATATATATACATAGCCTATGAAAAACAAGGTTAGAGGAAAGTCTTCCTCATTCTATATCATTTTTTTAAAGGGAAACAATTAAATGTCACACACCAAATAAGAGTTTTATCTCCTGTCGTGTTCTACTCATTCCCACAAGTACTCACAATAAAATTTAGAAGTAGTAAGACATATATAATAATACAGGAAGAACAGTTCCACTAAACCATCTATATAGGATGTCATAGAACACTTACTCAAAAAAAAGTTCATTTGTAAGAAGACAGCTTTAAACTATCATTATTCATTAGGTTGTTATTATCCACCAGTCATAATCCTATCCAGCAATTCAAATTTAGTTTACACTTCAATTTTTCAGAGATGTAAGAATGGGATTAAACTTGCAGGGTTAGGTTACAAGAAAATAAACTTCTGCACCACAGAAGCAGCACAGCAATCAAGGAAGTCTCAATGATGCACACAGACATTATCACTATTCGTGATCTTGTTTTGATTTTTTAGTTACTCATTGTATTAAATATGCTTATATATTATGAAAACACCTTAGCTGGGATACAAATAAATTGGTCAGTAAAAAAGAAGCATGAGAAAAATAAACACCATGAAGATTAATGTTGTTTCTATACCCACAGAGTAACATCTGTTATCATAAACAGTCTTTAATTCCTAAGAGTTAGGTCTCCATTGCTTAGAAAAGGGCTACTTACCTAACCCATGGATTGTGTTGTAGTCTATATCAGTACCATACACATACGCTCCAAAGTGTGCTGAGGCTATGAGCAGGCCACCTGCAAAGGGCAGAAAAAGGTGAAGGCTATGAAGAGATGCCATCACAAACACTACCAACTTATTTTGAAATAAAGGAAAACAAATAAAGAATTAAAACTACTGTTTACAATGGCTGCAGAAGTATAATCAGAGATAACAACACTAAGTCCCTTCTCTGTTGCAACTGATTTTCCTTCCGTGTACACTTAAGTTGCTATGCTGGTCCTTATCTCTTAAGACTGTTCTTAAGAGTTTGTTCACAGTTCACTATTTCAAAGTGGCAACACTCATGAATCAAAGCTGTCACTTTATTTTGTAAGCAGTCCTGAAAATCCATTTGAAAAAAAAAAATATCAGCAAATAAATGGTAATTTTGCAGGGTCTGCCTGCCAAGTCTGACTCCTTAACCATATCTAAAACCGAACTGGTTGTGTTATGGGGCCATGCCCCAAGTAAGAAGCAATGTTCAGATACCTCAAAAATGTAAAAATCTCCCATGTAAAAGGCAATATCAAGAAAATTCCCTTAACTGTTTCGCAGTGTGAAAACCACTATACACACGTTTGTTTTCTTTCCTGTTACCTATTTCGTCACCTATTTTGTCAGTGCATTCAAAAGCTCACTTATCTTGCAATAGAACTATTTTTTACAGCTATTTTACTACTTCTATTGTCATCTGCTTTCTGCTTTTAAAAAAAAGCACTTGAGTTCCCTTGAAACTGGGCAACAGCTGAATAGCTCATAGACAGAGCATCTCCATTATGTCCTTAAAAGCTCCAAAAAAGAGGCAAGGAGGAAGTGCACAGGATTTTTACAGAATTTTGTTGTTGAGTTGTTAATCGAGATGTGTAGAGTTAATAGAATAGTTTAAAACAGAGCAGTAACTGAACTAGGCTGTGAACCCCAAACTACTGATGCCAACTGCTTATGGACAGAAATAGCACTAGAAAGCTCCCATATCATATGCTAATAAAGTAAACTGAAGGTGAGGGAGATAAAAAAAATTCTCTGCTTTTTCTTGTAAAATGGATCAGGGAAAAACAAGGCTACTCACCCCGAGGAGTCCCCCATTTCCCTTCTCAGCTGTAATCCCTCCAAGCAGATGGGCAGTGACTCCAGAGGGCCAAGGGAAATTTAGCTAGCCCTGTCCCCAATTACGGGGGCAAGGCCCCCATACCACCCAGTCCTATGAAAAAGAGTAAAAAGAAAGTACTTTGCCCATCTAAGAACATATATATATATATATAATTTTTTAAAACACAAAAGGAAAAAAATGAGATAGGAAAACACAAACTTACAGCTTTCAATAAATCTGATGGTGCTCAATTAACTCGTGTTCACATATACAGTGCATGGGCATTTAAATACTGTAATTTGGCCAGCCTTTTGGCCTAACACACTAAATAGATGCATATACAAGGTTAAGCAGAGAATCAGACTGTGCCCTGATGACTGCTAGCACAGGGACGATGGCACAGAATTTCATGCCTTTCTACAGGAAAGTGTCTATTTCCCCCACCGCTTGGGCAGGCATGAGATTTTGGTCATACAGCTACCCTCCAGGGTGTCAAAGAAGAAATTCCCACCATTTGCAATTATGCAGCAGCAAACGGCAAAGGGGAAAGCTTGTACTTTTTTTTGACTTAAAAACATAAGCTTATCAAGATAACAAGAGCAAATTTTTCAGAAGGCTAATACAGAATATTCAGATAAAGTGATTTCTCCTTTCAGAAATCCCCAGGTTTCTTTCTGACCAACTTTATCAAAAAAAAATATATATTTTTAAAGCCTATGGAAATTAAAGTTCTGCCATTCAGATTCAGAACTAAATCTCTTAAACCAGCTTGGTCTAAAACACATTTCATTCCAACAACAAATTCTATTTATTTAGTGGTATATTTATGTGAAAGACTTGCTATTTGACTCATCTAGCAAAAAAACTTGCTTGCTATAAGCAAGCACAACTTTGCAAAGCTGTTCCAGTTTGGTAGTATTCACCTGTTCAGCATAAAAACAGGAAGAAATCAAGTCAGGTATTAAACTTGTAACAGTGAGGAATTCTGGACTACAGTGTATTCCAAGTGTTCATCAAGTCCTGTATTGTTCTTTCCAAATTCATCAGCTCAAATTCATCATGAGACTCAACTCCAAACTGCCTTCCAAAGCTCCAGTGATGGTTACCACTGCCATGGCAATCTTGAAAATGCTCTAAATGACTTCAAGAGAGTAATGAGGCTCTTGGAGTTTGCTCACCAAGAATAGCTGCAAAAATAAAAGCTACCCAACTAAGAATATCTGTATCCTTATAAACACACCTTACCAATAAGTGGGGTGCTACCATTGTCAGGGTCCTTACATATTTTAAATTTCAAGCCTGTACGTCACAGATAACTAGTCTAATACAAACAACCATTTAAAATTCAAACTGTGAGGCCATTTGGCAAGAATTTTTCACATAACTTACACCTGAGCACTGAATCACATGAGGCTTATAATGCTTATCTTGATCCTTCTATATCTTTTCCCTCCCATTTCTCCTCAATTTTCACTCCCAAGAGAACGAATTCTCCCTGATTTTTTGTTTGTTTGTTTGTTTTAGGTTTAGCAAGTATTTGTAAAAGGAAACAAACCAACAGACACTGCAGTTAAACTGCCTAGAGAAGAACTGGAGGAGCTTGCTCAGTTTCCTCAGCCTTTCAAAAAGAACTAGCCATCTGCAAGGAACACAAGCACCTTGCAGGCAAGTGAGTGAAAGAGGAGTACGTTTCTCAACGCATTATCACGCTCATCTTCCCTGCTTCATCCCCGCTCCCCGCCCCCTCAAAAAAAAGAAAAGCTGCATATAAGCAAAATTTAAGGAAAAAATGAGAAAACAACCTTTTTAGTGCCTTTGAAAAAAATCATGGAGGTAGTTTAATATGACCTACTTTATATGATTAAATGACGCAACCTGACACAAGGGAACTTCTATTTCAATTACAAACCAGCTGCGCATCCTTCATCAGAAAAACACTTCTAGGCCATGGAAAGTTAAGTATTATGTGGACTAAAAGCTCCCCCTGCTGGCTTAACTAAGAAAAACTCAGCTTGAGTATGAACAATACTGTCCTGAAGATTTGACAATACAAGGAAGAGAACACTATGATCTAACAGCTGCTACTTTGTGTTATATGCTCAGAGGTGCATTCAGTGCTGCTCTAAATTGTCTTCTAAAAAAATACTGCTCCATGCAAGATTTTGAAATTGGCTGCAGGGAACACTGGAGCCAAAGTTTCATTTCTAAATCACATCGGGGCTGGAAGCAGTCCATAACACACAGCAACTACTATTCAAGGCATGTGCATAAATAACTGATTAAGATATTTTACTTTACATTTTCGACAAATCTGTTTGCATTGTCTGAAACTGCTAACCTCCCTAAAAAGCCCTTACAAGACAAATAAATGTTTCTTTTTACTATCGTTATTTTGCTTTCAGTACCATCTCAACCTCAGTCAAAGCACTAAAAGCTGCTATGTTCAGGAAGAGCAAGGTGCCCACAGGAACACAGCTCTAGCCTGCACTTTCTCCACGAAAAGAAACAAAAATACCTGTTCCAACAAACGGATCAAATACGACATCGTTGGGTTTTACTCTTGCATGGTTTGCCATAATGAAAGACAAGCAAGCATCCATGCTAGTGTTTCCAATGAAGTGTCTCTTTTTTACACTGTAGGACTCGATTAGTTCTCTTTGGCCATCTGCAATCTGTGGAAACATTTAAAATCACTGTCAGGTCTTAGATTCAAGAGATATGCCAACAGGCTTACAGGCTTGTTTAGTAACTCCTCATTTCATAACTTCATAATGTGACACTTGGCTTTCTGTCTTCTGAAAATATGACACAGCTTTTTCCACTTTGTCCAAGAAAGAGATATTTTGGTGCAAAATGTACTTTAGACCTCTACCTTAAAAAATACCTAGGGAATTTAGGGTGTAAATTCTTCTAAGAAACAATGATCTTAGCAATACTGCTATTATTCTACTTATCAGGATACCAGCTGCTGGCAACTCAGAGTTAAAATAATTTTAAGATGTTAAGAAGTGGAAATGCAGGTTTTGCGTAGGTGTGCACACACATGCACACAAACGCACGGAGGCTTAAGATCACACAGAAGTTCCTTCTTCATCGGCTTTCCTGTCATGCTTAAAATCTACATTTAAGCTAGCGCTGCCATACTATGCCAGAAAAACAAACCTGGCTCACTTTTTGAGCATTTTAACATCGGACTTCCAAAATACGTTGAAGGAGACCAAAGTGATTTGGGACAAACCACTTTGGAAAGTTCCCCTAAACTACCCTTCAGCTCTGGTCAACATCAGCCCTACTGGCTGAACGACATACACTGCTGTATGTTGTTGTTGCCTGTTGGTGTTGTCTTCTAGTTTTTATTTTGTTAAGCACTTCAGGGATCCAGCATACATGGGACACCAGCTCAAATGCTATGCAGCATTGCCACAACTTAGGGGGCTTTTGCATTAATGGCAGGAATGGAGAATATTCCCGGGCACTAAACGGTACCTTGGATCTCTAGCTTGGAGCACGACCTCTGACCACAGCCGTGCATCTCTGGCAGTGGTTCTCCTCGCTCCTAACTGCCCCTGAAGCAGAGCATCCCAGAGCACATTCTCCCCATCAGAGGCTACAGCCCTTCAAGGAAGCGCCCTGGGGACCCACTTTTCCATCACAAGATATAAAAGACCAGATCTCATTTCCTCAGATCGTCCTAGCAAGGCACCAGGTTTGAGGTGTGCATGCTCAAGGGGCCAGAACATTTGCAATAAATATCTCAGATGACGAAGGCCTTCTTCAATTCATGTTT